TTTATGTAATTTTAAAGTACTCTTGTTCTCGGCAAGCGTCATCGCGGGGAAAAAAATTAGAAAAAAATATCATAATTATTAGTCGGATTAAATTTCTTGTAATGTGCATGAGTGAAAGGTTATGTGAACAAGAGAAAATCTTGTAAGAATTCAAATTAGTTTACCCACGAAGCGGTAATATGACTTAACAGTCAGTTGGCGTTTTTTTTTTTTTTGGAAGCGAGTGAAAACTTATAGAGCTGCGGCTGAGAAATTGTCAAAAGAAAGGGTCAGAAACCCCTTCGACGCGACGTGGGTTCAACAATGCACTAAAATTATGTGACGATTATTGAAATGATAAATATTTGTGGGGGCCCACATACATTTTGCTTATAATGGAACTTTTGTAATTTTTTTTTTTGGAAATAAAAATTTTAAAGTAAACAATTTTATTTTTTTGTAGAAAAAATAGTAGATCAGAGTTTCGTGAAGAAATGATTTCTGGAATTATTTATTTGAAGGTTTTGCTCATTTTTTCCATACAAAAATACTTGGTATAGAAGAAAATGACCGACATCGTCAACAAAAAAATTTACAAAAATCAGTGGATGAACTGAGCTGAAGTTAAGCAGTTTACTTTGAAAATTTAGAAGTCTTTTTTTTTAGGTAAAAACTTAATCAAAGTCTCCACTCACCTTCATCCGCCGCTGCTGTAAGCTTTTCACCCTGTGTTATATAACTGCTCATTATAGCCAGTAGCAGCAGCAAGATCGCTGCCTTAACACGTTCTGAACACATTTTGAAACACAATTTTTTTGTATATTTTTTTTCTTTTCAAATGCCGCGAAATTGTATGTGCTTGAATTTGAACATTAATATCTCTTTGTAGAAAGTTCACAACTTCAATTGTATTAGATGGTTTTCACAAAATAAATCACTTTGCCATTGGATGAGAGACACTCTTTGGCAGCCTAGAGTTCCTGGGCAGTTCTGAAAAGAAAGAGAGATAAAAAATTAAAAAGATTGTTAGAAGAACATACATACATATATCATTAGCTTATAGGCAATATTATATTTTTTTTATTTTTATAGGCGTTCGTAAAAATGGAAGGCTAAGAAAAGAGAATTAAATTTCGAAGGGTTATAGAGATAATATATATTTGAGAAAAGNAAAACACACCTACAGCCTGCCAGAAAAAACGGTAAGAAGAAGAGTTACTTTACTTATGGAACTGTACGATGTACATATATCATTAGCTTATAGGCAATATTATATTTTTTTATTTTTATAGGCGTTCGTAAAAATGGAAGGCTAAGAAAAGAGAATTAAATTTCGAAGGGNTATTTTCACAACTTGATGTTTAAAAGAACAGTATCATTTGTTAAAATTATAAATTACATAGCAAGTGGATAAGCAGCAAGTATCGCTACAGTATTCCCCCGCCAGACTTTCAATAATTAATTTTTGGAAGTCGAACTGATTAAGTGCTGTTTGAAGTTGTACTATCAGCTTTATCCAATGTAATGAAAGCGGGCTTCAACCTGTCAACAGATATATTCACAGGCCGATCTCCAACCAAAATTTTATAAAATTTAGGAAAACATTTCTTTATCTCAAATGGATCATCGTATGGTGGTGTAAATGAATAACGTACTTTGTCCACACGAATAAAAACATGCGTCGCATCATTTAATCTACTATTAATGAACGGTTTTTTAATTGAGTGATGAGCTGTGTCTGCAGGACGGACGGATCTCATCAGTTCAATAAATTCCTTTACGAATTCATCTTGTGGCTTGAAAAGGCTATCAATAAACATCTCGCCGGGTAGTTTAAGTACAGTGCCGTAAACCATTTGCGAAGGACTGGATCCGATATCTTGCTTGAATGTTGATCTTAAGCCCAAAAGTACAATCGGTAAATGCTCAGTCCATTTAAGAGTATCAAAACACATTAGCGATGCTTTTAAAGTTCTATGCCAACGTTCAATAATGCCATTAGATTGAGGGTGGTAAGCGGTAGTCCGAAGGTGATCAATTCCGAGTATCCGTGAAAGTTCATTAAAAAGATTTGAATTGAACTGTCCTCCTTGGTCGGTAGTTAAACGGATAGGCACTCCAAAACGTGAAATCCAAGCACTGATGAATGCTTGTGCGACAGTTTTTGCGTTAATAGCTGTGATAGGAATTGCCTCAGGCCATCTAGTATAGCGATCAATGATTGT